AGCTTGGTTTTTACATTTTAAATGGCTGGAGGAAAATCAAAAGAAGAATATTTCATGTCACAAAAAATGATAGAAATTCCAATTTCAGTGTCTATAATAAATAAAGTTTAATTGAAACACACAACCACACCCATTCATTTATGTATTGTCTGTGACTGCTTTCACACTATAACAGCAGAGCTGAGCAGTTGTAATTGAGGCCATATGGGCCACAAAACCTAAGATATTTACTATCTGGCTCGTTACAGAAAAAGTACAGACACTCTGTGCCTTATTCTGTTCAGGTTGCTATAACAGAAACACTATAGAGTGGCTAGCTTATAAACAACAAAAATTTTCTCACAGTTCTGGAGGCTAGAAACCCAAGATCAAGGCACAGTAAATTCAGTGTCTGGTGAGAGCCTGCTTTCTGGTTCATAGATGGCGATCTTCCTGCTGTCTCTCACACAGCAGAAGGGATGAGGGAGCTCTCTGGGATCTCTTTTACAGGGGCACTAATATCATAACTAAAGTTCCACTCTCATGACCTAATGACCTCCCGAAGTTCCCACTTTCTAACACCATCACATTGGGGTTAGGTTTCAACCTATGAATTTCGGGGAGATAAACAGTCTATTGCACCCTGTTTAGAAAGTCATTGTTCTTAGCTTCTGATCCTTGATGACCAGAGAAGCCTTTAAGAGAGTAAGGAGGTACTTCTGAGGAGGGCTCAAAATCGACTAGTGTTTAGTTTAGTTCTTATAGATGACCAAATGTTTTTTATTTTGATACTAAACTCCAAGATTATAGTAGTAATGATAGGAATCAAATGTAAAATTCCTAAAGTATCACTTAAATTTCAACTGTCACTAACAGGAGTATCTCCCCTCAATAGGGTTTCAACTTTCACAATACATTGTTTATGATAAAAATAAAGAAATTTCGTGAAATAACCTCTAAAGACTCCTTTGCCTCCAAATTCTGAAATACTATGATTCTAATACTAACTGTTGGAATATCATTATGTTGCTCAATATCCCATTGAACAGGGGCATCCTATATTCCGGAACTTCTCAGTGCCCTTCTGTTACTGAATTATTTTGAAAATGTGTCTGCCCTGCTTAACTAGGGGCATCTTCTCACACTTCAAGCTTTCTTTGAATTTTTTTCAAATAAGAGACTTCAAGTTGATTAAGTATAGAGATTGTATTGATTTTAATAGATGTGTGTTTTGTTAGAAGGAGATTGTCAATCACCGTCATTGCCATGCTGTGTGTAGGCTTTTTGAGCACATGTTAACTTAAGGAAATACATTTTGGATCAAAATTACCAAGAGGTAAAGAAAGTTAGATTCAGTCATGCTCCTCCAAATTCTGTAATGATATCACCCTAAACTGGATATACCCAAAGATTAATCTTATGGTAAAATCTATACTCCTGTTTTGATGGGATATTTACTTTCTGGTTAAAGTGAATGTTTACAAGCAAAGTTCTATTCATTCCTAAAGAAAGGACTTCCTGGGGCACATGGGTGGCTCAGTCCATCTGCCTTTGGCTCAGGTCATGATCCCAGGGTGCTGGGATCGAATCCCGCACCGGGCTCTTGGCTCACCGGGGAGCCTGCTTCTCGCTCACACTCTCCCTCTGTGCTTTCTCTCTCTCTCTCAAATAAATAAATAAAATCTTAAAAAAAAATTTAAGAAAGGACTTCCCATTTTGTAGCTGTTGGATTATGGATGAGACTTCATTAAAATAATAATCCCCAAGCCCTAGAGGGTGCTCTCAGTAGAAATTAACATTCCCAAACAAGTAGATGCAATGCTCTTGTCCCTCAAGGCCTTTCAGCTCTCAAACCAATTGAGCTACTGTAATCCCCAAATACTTAACCTTCTCAGATGAGTATGCAAGCTTCTCTTCTAAATGAAGTCATATAAACCTCGAGTAGCACCAGGCTAGTCTATGTCTTTTTGTATTTTTATTGGTCTCTATACTCTTAACTCCCTGACCGGCAGCTTTGTTAATGAAGGAAGCTCACTTTAATAAAATTACTATGTTTAGATGCTCGTTATTAGAAGCTGCATGCCAAATGCTAATTTAAAGCCCAGTCATTAAGGTTAAGAGGGTTTGTTGTGCACACTCCTTTACATAACTCATTCTGAGGCTGTTATAGAGCCATACTGGCTATTGTCTTTTTAAACAAGCCTGTCTGTCATATGTTCTTGTCCATGATTTGAACCTTTCAATGTGATAAAGTTTTAATAAGCATGAAATCAATGACATTTGTTCACCGGAAAAAAAAAAAAAGGGTTTATCGCTGCTATTCTTCAGTTTGCCTCCCCATATGAAATCTGTAGTGGCTTTACTAGCCTTTACCTGTAATATGTTCTATTACCGTATGGCCTGTCCTTCTGATATGGAGCTGAGGTGTTTAGAGAATGTTCATAATTAGGTGTTATTCCTACATCTTTTGGTCAGCTTTTAGAGATCCTGATGCCTAGGTAGCACTCCACACCAACTGAATCAGAATGTTGGCAGTAGGAACCCTAGGCATCAGTAATTTTTTAAAAGATCCCCAGGTGATTGCAATGTGCAACAAGGTTGAGAAACCACTGGCTTTACTTGTTAACCATATAGTTTAGAGTAGAGGTTCTTACTCCTTGTAGCAATTTACTCAGGATTAATTGACCTTATAATAATGTACTTTACTTGAAAAAAAGATGTTATATAAATATAAGACTGTTTTTTGTTATTATATAGACTGTAAAAAAGCACTGTTTTGGGGCCGCCTGGGTGGCTCAGTCGGTTAAGCGTCTGCCTTCGGCTCCGGTCATGATCCCAGGGTGCTGGGGTCGAGCCCCGCATCGGGCTCCCTGCTCGGCGGGGAGTCTGCTTCTCCCTCTCCCTCTGCTGCTCCCCCTGCTTGTGCGCTGTCAAATAAATAAATAAATCTTAAAAAAAAAAGCACTGTTGTGGTAAAATATACATAACATAAAATTTAGCATGTTAACCATTTTGTACTATTCAATGACATGAAGTACATTCACATTGTTGCACTACCATCACCACCATCCATCTCCAGAACTTTTTTCATTGTCCTAAACTGAAACTGTGTCCATTATACAGTAACTCCCAGAATAGCCTGCAGCCCGTGGCAGCCACCATGCCACTTTCTGTCTCTATAAATCTGACTGCTCTGAGTACTTGTATAAGTGAAATTATACAGCATTTGTCTTTTTGTGACTGACTTATTTCAATTAGCATGATATCTTCAAGGCTCAACCATGTTGTAACGTGTCAGAATTTCCTAAATTTTTTAAGGCTAATTAATATTCCATTGTATGTATATACCACATTTTGTTTATCCATTCATCTGTCCTTGGACACTTGGATTGCTTCCATCCTTCGGTCATTGTGAATAATGCTGCTATGATCATGGATGTGCAAGAAGTGGATTTTAAGTAAAGATAAATAAGATGCTCATCTGGATAAATCACTTGCTCTTCTTTTTTAAGATTTTATTTATTTATTTGAGAGAAAGAGAGTGAAACCATAAGCAGGAGGCAGTGGGGGAGAGGGACAAGCAGACCCCTGCTGAGCAGGGAGCCTGATGCGGGGGCTCGATCCCAGGACTCTGGGATCATAACGTGAGCCAAAGGCAGATGCCTAACCGACTGAGCCATCCAGGTGCCCCAAATCACTTGTTCTTTATGGATAGATAGGTTGTAGTGTAGTTCACCAGATGAGTTCACCTGCCCCTAGTGACTGGCCTGCCTTTTACAAAGTAGGGCAAAAATTAGTTACTATTCCATATGCTTTCTGGATTTTCTCAGATATGTTAGAATTATTTTATTGAATTAGCTCTCTTGCTCAGTCTGTAGGTCAATCCCACAAAAGCTGTGTTCTAGAAATATAATGATAAAAGTCTGTATCTAGAATTAAATTAAGGACTCATGTTGTATAGTTTAGTTTAATTCCCAAGTGCTACTACAGCAAAATTGTAAACTTTAAAACAAACCTAAAAGCATTCCCTGGTCTAGAAGTTATAAACCAGAAGTATGTATGTTGCTCTAGAAGTTGTAAACTAATTAGCTTGAATCTAGAAGCCACATTATGATCTCTTTACTTCTGCCTGTGTTACTCAGGCCCTTTAGCCCTGCTTCTATACATGAGCCTAGATTTTTGTATTACAAAATCTAGTACCTAAGCTAAGGGTTCACTTTTTAGTTCTTTCCATTTTTTTTTTTAAGATTTATTTATTTATTTTAGATGGGGAGGGGCAAAGGGAGAAGGAGAGAGAAACCCAAGCCGACTGCACTGAGCTCAGAGCCGGAGGTGGGGCCCTGAGGTCAAGACCCAGAGATCACAACCTGAGCTGAAACCTAGAGCAGATGCTTAAGCGACTGCGCCACCTAGGTGCCCTTAGTTCTTTACATTCTTGGTGAACCAACCTTGTTTGTCTCTTGACTTCCATGAAGGGTATGTTTCTTTTTTACGACAGTTCAGATAGGTGTTTCTACAAGAGAGCAGCTGTGTTGTCAGTAAGTGGAAATTTTATGGAGTCAGTCAACTTTGGAAAAATAGTGATTACTTATTTTAACATTGTATTTCTGAAGGCATGACTTTTTCATATTCCCACATATTTTTCATATTCCACCCACTCTTTGTTACAGTATCAAAGAAATGAATTTTCATTTGTGTGTGTATATTTCACTTTGATCCCTTTGACACTTTTCCTTAATTTTTCACTTCTAGTAAAAGGCAGTTGAAAAGAGGCTCAGCCACATCACTGAAAAGATATAAATTGTACACTTTGCTGGTCTCATTGGGTTAACAACTGGGCTGCATCTGTGCGCTTTAGAGGTATAGGAATGACTGAAAACTGAGAATCTGATGAGATAATATAATTTTAGATCCAGTTCTACATTTAAACATGAGCAACTTGTTCTTGTCTGAAGACTTATCTATCGAACTCTACAGTCTGAGAGGCTAAGAGTGAGTAAACAAAACTTCTTTCTTTCTAGATCTTCATCTGCTGGTGGATGTGGCCTGCAAGCAGGAGCACTTTCCAAAGGAGGAAGAATTAAAAGAGTGAGGAACGGATGACAAATGTGACATTGTGCACTAGCTGTAGCTGGAGGCAGACTAGCCTTGCACATGACACACTGTTGGGATTTTTTCAGTTCTGTTAAGGAAAAAAAAGTATTTTTGTTTTGTTAATTGAGAATTTTGTTAATTGAGAATTGGGACTTTGGTATTTACTACAGCTGTTCAGTTCAGATTATTTACCTTGACAAACTACTAAACATCAAGCAGCACCCCCCTTTTTTTTCTTTTTGCTGCCCAGATCCCTTTCAAATGAAAAGTCCTGGCCTTCTGTTACAGTCAAGAAGCATCTAAAAACTGCTGCATCTATGTACTGGAGAATAATCTGTGTGTGTGTGCTGATTTGCCGTCTTGCCACTCTCAAACTGTAGTCAGCACAACTCCAGTGGGGAGTTCAGTCTATCTGTTTCAAGTCACAGTGTGATCCTTCTAGAGAAGACTGTGTGAGAAACAAAGGCATGTGAGGTCACCAAGATCACAGGTCTAAAGGGGTCAGGAATTCCAGGGAAGAAACTCTGAAAAAGAGCTAATTTTCTAAGTGATGAACCAGGAAATGCTCTTACTTCCTAACCCAGCATTCTGTTTCAAAAGCAAGGCATCCGGACTTGGACCATCCATCACACTTAACAGCCCCTTATTCTTTTATATTAATGGGAGCATTCTTTTATTTTCATATCTTTCTTTAATTTTAATGATACATTATCATAAATGGTAAGAAGGTTTTGTTACATATCACTTATTTAAATGTCTTCTAAAGAAAAGTAATTTGTTTATTTATAAATGCTAGTAGATTTAAAAGTTTTAAAGCTTTATATTTTTATTAATATTTCAGGATAGAAGGATAAAGGATGCATGTGTAAGATATTTATTTTGAAGGGGAAAATGTGTGAACAAAAACATTAAGAGATTTAACACTGTTTTCTTGCTTTAGCTTTTTATATTCAGTCTGTATAAATTCTCATCTATATGAGATCTTGTGTGCAAATTTTGGGAAAACCTTGATTAGTAGTCATTTAACAGAAGCTGTACCTCTGACATTTTTAATAATTTATGTCTGGTTTAAACTTCTGAGAGAATTTTGGATAATGGGATAGACCATAACATTTTTATTTTATCCCCTCTGTTGGATTCTAAATTCGAATAGTAGGATTGTGGGACCGGTTTTTAGGAGAGGTATCTTGGGTGTCCACTTTCTGTGGTTGATCCCTCACTTGCTCATCCAATGACAGCAAGAAACTTTCTGATTTTAAAGTCTTTTAAACTGGGTAAAACGTTCTTAGTGGATTTTGTTTCAGTTGTCCTAATGAGAATTGCAGGAACAAAAGGAAAGCCTAAGAATATGAAACTAATTAAAATGAAAAGGCACTTAGTGATATGACATAAATACTATGCTACTCTTTGTGAGTGTAACAATTCATTTCTTAAATCGCACTGTGCCTTCTAATTGTGTCAAACCATAGAAATGTTACAGAGATAGTTTTTTGGAAAAGGATGATTTCTGTATTGGTGTGCAGTGACTCAGTTTAGGTAAGAAAGTAGGTTCTGAAAAGTGACCTGTTTGGTCCATCTGATTAGACTAGTTGATGTCCATGTGATGGGCATTTATTCACCTTTATTAGCAAGGTTTAAAAGATGAACAAATTATCAAGACTCCTCCGTCTTTTGGCCAGACTATGTATTTTGGCAGAGTATGTGAAGAGACCCAATTTCCAAATGAAGGAACTTTGTCTTTTCTCTGTCATGTTGAGAAGCTGATAAACGGTGTAGCTGACATTCCTTCCCTTAATATGCCTTTTTAGCTTTGTATATGTTGAAAGAAATAATATCTTTTGAGGAACATGTGTCAGGCAGAAACCTTGGCATGGATTTGGTTTCAGTGGTTTTAAGGCTTAATTAATGAAATACCTTTATCAGCTTTCCAAACTTTTTTATATATGAATACAACAGACCAAGGAGCTGGATCTCCTGCTATACTCACATGCCTGCTACCTATCAACTAAAGCTATCATCACTGACTTCGGAAAAATGGCAAAAGATAAAATAAAATCTTTGTGTGAATTAACCAGTAGGGCCTGACACATACTAACAAGGTTTCTGACTAGCACTTCAGTATTTCAGCACCTTAAGCACGATAAATTTCAATCAGTCAACAATAAAGTGAGTGTTTCAACTGGACTTGTCTTGCTTGTTTTTACTGTTTTATTGGTGATCAATAGAAACCTCAGTTGTCATGACTATTATTAATAATAGCAAAATTTTAAAGAGAATGTATTCTGTTTTTCAAAGAATCTAACTTTAAAAAAAGTGTCAGTTTTTGTTTTTTTTTTTCATTTGCAATTGAACAAGAGATTGAACAGAGATTGAATCTTTAAAATGCCATTAGGGATAAGGACAATTCTTGGACATGTTTATAGAAACCTGTTTTTTTTTTTTTTAGGAAAAGGATGAATAGTCTTCAGTAGCTTTAGTCAATCCAGATGTGGAAATAGACCCTGAAGGATGATCTCTCTCATGGGTAGGATTAGGTAGAGTAGACGTCAGTGAGATGGGCATTTCATTACCACAGAAATGACATCTTTATGTCATCCCTTGGAAGTTGTGATATATCAACCCCTGGGGGATAAGCCAGAGATCTCTTGCTTGTCAATTCTGGTGACCTAGGAAACACAGTATATCAGGGAAGTAAACTATATAGGGCTGTTTGGTTGGATACTGAGTATCTCACGGGATACCCAGGTTCATGAAACATATTATCATCATTCCTAGATCTTGCGGTTTCCTCAAGAGAGGGCAACCAAATCTATATTTTTTTCCTTCTTTCACCTAAGTGTGTATATTAACTCTTAGGTTTGTTTAGGTCTCTTAACTCCTTTGCAAGTTTCAAGCAGGAACAGGTGAGGCAAAGTCCATTGGTAGGTCACTTTTTGTTTAAAGATGTTTTTGCCTCTATCAAATATGTAGTAATGTATATTTTACATTATTTATGCTATGCTATTACGCAATATATATAAAATTAAAAATACAAAACCACAGGAGATTTTAAAAAATTCTTTTGAAAAGAGTTGTAAAGGTTATAGTTGCATTGTGTTCTTAAGGTCCAACCAATAAAGAAAACGTGCTAAATTAAGAATTTATTTTAGAGCTTATTTCTCTGCTCTATGTCAGTTATTAGGCCAAAATGCCAAAATTATTCCCATAAACCTTCTTTAGGGAAAAAATGCTCAAAATGAAGAAAGCACTCATACTTTTTTGCTCTAGAGGCATTAAGTCATTGTTTTATAACCTACAATGCAATTATTGTTATCCACATTTTACAGATGATAAATTTGTATGCTCTCATTTGTACAATTAAAACATTTTTTAATCTTCTGTGCTTACCACAACTAAAATTTAAGTGTAAAAACAATTTAAGTGTACACTTCAATAGTGTTAACCACATTCACATTGTTGTACATTTATACAGTTTGGAGAGATTATTGGCAATAGGTAAAAAATAAAGTGGACACAGTCGAATATAATCTGGTAAATCTGAAAATTCAAATTTTAGAAACATATATTAGAAACTTTTGTATTCTAATGACAAGGTAACTAAAAAAGTTCATGATTGTGGTAGTTGGCCAAGAATTGGTTTTCTTTTTGCCTTACACACTTCTCATGAAGCATATATATTTGACCCCTTTGCTTGTATTTATGACATAGACTTACTTGCAATCTTACATGGAGGGCATAGGTGTGATCCATAGTATTATTTCACTCTCCAACAATGTGAGAAGAAAGTAATAGGTTCCAGACCTCTGATATCAACCTGATCTAAAAGCTCCATACAGGCACAGTTTAGAAAAGAGCTACTGGATTTAAATAAGTAAAAGCTGAAGAAAAACTATGTGTAAAATGGACAGGGTTCTTGCCAGGGTAGCAGACCTGAGACAGCAATAAGGACTACAGCACTGGATCACTTTATTCTAGCATTGTGCCGTTTATAGACACTAAAACCTGAAAAGAGCAGAAACCCCTTTGAAATTATATTTGTAAAATCTTGTGTCCGCTCTTTCACGTTCTGGGTTTTCACTATTTTATTCTCTTTATTTCCTCATACCACCATTTGTGTTCTCTTGGGTGCAGAACCTGCTTAGATATCTGTTTGAGTGGACTTGATTTACGTGTGGTAGCTTGCTTACCCAGAGAAAGTTATTGAGCATTGAACTGGGTGCAGTTTGGCTGTGGCTCAATAGAGGGAGTAGAGGAGCTGAGAGAGCAGAGAGAGCAAAAGAACGTGTCTGGCACAGTAAGTGCACGCCCTGAAGCCCTGGCCCTAGCAGCCAGCCAGGAGGAGGGGTGGGGCGGGGCAGGGCGGGGGGGGGGCGGTGGTTGCCTCTAGCTGCTCCACCCTCACTTTGTGTCAGCAGGTAGAGAGCGTGATTGCAGTCCCAGGGGAGGGAGTCAGAGCTAGAACACCAATTACAAACCACAGGCTTCCTCCTCTAGGGAGTTGATCCAGAATTGTCTTTCTGGAAGGGAAGCACTTGAATCTTTCCGAACTTTCCAAGCCCATCCATGATTCAGAGATACTGCTTTCTCCCTCTGGGATTTTCTGTGTTCCTGGTAGTGAATTGTTGCTGGTGTATTTGCTACTTTGCTCCTTTTCTCTCTCAAGATTTGATCATTTTATATGCTGTTCGGGGAGAAAAAGAACTTTTGTTAGGAGATTTCAGAAATGATTTTGGATCCTCTATAAGTGCTCTTTAGAATTCTTGGGAACAGTAGCTCTAAGCCTGGAGTAAATGTTTGCCTTTGACCTGCATGGATTATTTTTTCAGGCTGCGGAATTTCTCGGCACCTACCTGCAGTGTGGGGCCCTTGGTCTGGTTGCAGAGTAAGAAGGTGGAAGAATGAGCTGTACTTGGTTAAGCAGTTGAAACCTTTTTTGAGCAGGACCTATAAAAGCATAATTGAATTTGTTTCACCCCCGTGGATTCCGGTGGGCCCGACAGCGCAACAGGTTTGCAGATTTCTTTTGAAATTCTTATTTTTCTCCCTCTGCCTCAGCAAAAGAGAAGGATCTATATAACAGGTTCATGTTCAATTGCTTGGCTTTTCAGCACTTACTCTGAAGACTTTATAAGATTTTTTTTAACTTGACCTCTGAACACGGCGGGCTTTGTGGTTGAAGTGCATTTATATTTACTTAGGGGTGCACATTTTAATATCTTAGAACTAAGATTTTGTTTGTACAAAGATCCAAATTCTCAAGTGTGCCTAGAAATAGCACAGATCTACTATACTCAGGCTTATTTTTACTTTTTCAGGATGTTCTACTTAGAGCCTGTACACTAATCACCTCCCTACTCCCCCTATCTTTTATTCCCCACCCCCTCAAGGAATCTGAAAACGTGTTAGGAATAGTCCTTTGTTTTACTTAAGAACGTAGAAAATTACAGATTATAAGATCTGGATAATAAAGTAGTTTCCAAAAGCATCTCATGGGAAATCAAAGCGCTTGGCATTCTCAAGCAGGAGAATAAAAGCTGGAATCCCTAGGAGAGAACGGAAAATAAAGATAGAAATATCATTTAACTGGGAAAAATAATTGGAAAGCTAACCTTTTCAAATACTCTTCTAATTTTGAAAGTTGGAAAAGAAGGTGATACTCAGGATTATCCTGTAATCTGTGAAGACATAAATTAGCATCTAATTTATAGGCAAATTTAGGTAGAACATTAAAAATGACAGTATATTTAACTTCATGGAAAGTATTATAAATTCAATGGGCCTAGAACTTTGGCTACATTAAAATACAGTTTAATGTGGAAACTTTTATGAATACATGTTGTAGCATCTTTGGACGTCTCTCAAGGTGTGGCCTGAAGTATCGTACCCTCTCCTCCATTAAAAACAACAACAACACTTTTTTCCTGTGATCTTTAGTCTTTTACCATTGACAAATTTTGTGGCTTAAAAAGGACCATCTCTTCATTTTCCGAGCTGGCGTTTTTCACTCTCACCTTTGATGCATGGCTTTCGTTACTTACTTTGCCTTGCTTTGTTCATTAACATTGGGTTTAATGGTTCAGCAACTTGATGCATATGGAAGACCAGCACCGAGTGAACTGACATACTAAAGATTCGGGATGTGACATTCCACCTCAAGCAAAGTTGGAAATTCCAAAGAGAAGTGGTGATACCTTTACTAATCACAGTGAAGATGGGAGGAAATGACAGACCTGCAGCAGAAGTGGGCTGAAAACACCCTCTGCCCTGACAGATCAGGAATGCCACCTGTTCTTGGGAATATACTTTAGAGAAAGGAAGGGCCAAAACTACGACTTGGCTTTCAGAAACCGAAGCATCAATTCTCTTTTCCTCCATTTGTCTGGATCTGAGAAGCTGCGTTTGGAATTGGCTCGTGGAAGCAGTATGTCTGGCCGAAGTGCATTGCTGCAGCTGGTAGCATGAGTGGTGGCCACCAGCTGCAGCTGGCTGCCCTCTGGCCCTGGCTGCTGATGGCTACCCTGCAGGCAGGCTTTGGACGCACAGGACTGGTACTGGGAGCAGCGGTGGAGTCGGAAAGATCAGCAGAGCAGAAAGCTATTATCCGAGTGATCCCCTTGAAAATGGACCCTACAGGAAAACTGAATCTCACTTTGGAAGGTGTTTTTGCTGGTGTTGCTGAAATAACTCCAGCAGAAGGAAAATTAATGCAGGTAAGGATAATTTATTATATTTCACTTTCCATCTGTTCAAACTATGCTTTTCTTCTTTTGTCTCTCAAACCAAATACCGTACAAGAGCTTCTGCTGTTTAGTTTTCTGTTTGTTTCCTCTTTTAAGGATATTGCCTTATTGGCATTCTAAAACAAATCCTTATTTCTGCTAAAGAAGAAACATATAAGATTCCACATTTTAGAAGATCATCTGCTTATTTTTAACTCTGCTATCGCATTGCCTTTTTAGATCCACATAATAAGGCCATTCTTTGCAAGTGATGTATTCTGGACACTATTTTTTGATAGATTAAATATATATGGACTTGTATTTAATTGACATGAGGATCATACTTTATATCCTGTTTAAATTTGAAGTGAACACTGAAGAGGTTGATTTTTTTTTTATTGAGGTTAAATTGGTTTACAACATTATTCAGTTTTAGGTGTACAACATAATAATTTGATATTGTATGCATTACAAAGTGATCACCACAGTAAGTCTAGTTACCATCTGTTACCATACAATTGTGAGGAGGTTACAGTGGTCAGCAGCACCCTGAAATTCTAGAATGTCCTTGGAGCATATTTGATCACTGTGTCACTTTTAAAATTCAGTCAAGCTTGAATGCCATGGCTGGCTTCATACCACGTGTAGCACCCTATTGCTAAGCCCAAAATGGAGAGGACTGCATTACAAAATGGACACAAGGTGGAAACTTGCCTCCTTTGGTCTTGTCTACACATAATTTTATTTTTGAAAAAATTTTAATTTAACTTTTTTATTGACCCTCAAAGCTTTTCAGACACAGTTTCTTAGGCTTTCAGGTTGTGAATTTTGTCTATAATTCATTCATAGCCTACTCTTTATGTATTAAATTTATGAACTGACGGGCCATAGCTTTTCATAGATGAATTGCTCATTCCCCATGGTGAAGATAGAGCCCAAAGGGCTGTACTTTTTTACTGTGGCATTCTAGTGTGTTATTCCATAGAATTATGTTCCTTATTGATTAAAATTCATTTTATAAAAGGGCACTTCTTGCTGTAGCTCTTGGGCATAGGTTACAATGTTATTAAATATGATTTACTTCAGCATCCAGCCTCAGATTTTAATTGTGTGATATGAACAGAACCAAAGTATTGTATGAATTCAAATTTTTGTCTACTTAAAGATGAGAAAATTTAACAAATTATAGAACTCTTCCAAACATGCATTTTTATGTATATGATTTTGTGGTTCTTCAGGATCACTTTTTAGGCAGTATTTTGAAACCGGGATAAATGATGTGGAAGGAGAATTAGATGAAATGAAGGACTTGGCTATTCAGAATAATAAACAGACAAAAAGAATGTATCTGGAAAAAATGGCAAAAGAATTTTTGGATCAGAGTCTATTCATTTAATCTGAGCTCTAGGATGGAATTAGGAATATTTAAAAGTTGAAATCACAAATAATTTGGACTGTAACTGGAAAGGAAACTTTCTTGCTGACCTAGCCTAGTTGATACCCTGAAGTGTGAGGTATATGCTCCATTTTCATTTTTTTCCATAAGTAATTTTACTATAAAACCATATTTTGATATCTCCGAGGTCTTTGGGAGCCATACTAAGCTTTGTGTCTTATTAATGTCCTGTGGCAGCATCAGTGGGTTAATTATATGCTGCATAAAATAGAGTCTCTTTTATTTTAAATGTGTTGTCTTCTGTTATCATAAAGCTCTGTGTATCCATAAAGGAAAAGGCATATAACAGAGGCTAGCTGGCATTCTCTTTGCCATTCATTATTTTACCTGTCTTGATCATATCTTTGCTTATTCTACCCTTTTTCTTACTCTGGTAAATCCTGCTAATCTTTTTTTTTTTTTTTTTTTTTAGCTATTGACTTTTTAAAAAGTTTCTTTACTTTGTGAGGAGGAATTTCATCATATCTATTATTAGCAAGGCCTTTCATGTTTTATTATAGGGTAGGTTTGTGTTCATTGGCAATTTTTAGTCTTTATTCACTTTTTGTGTTCACATAAGCTTCTTTTAGGTCATTAATAAATTTGTACACTAGCCTAATAATCACTGGACACTGTCAGTATTGGTCCTAGTTTATTGCCTATTAATCAGTTTTTAATCCACAAAGCTACCAAATTGTCTTAATAGCCTCTTATGAGAAACTTTATTTTAAAAATACTTAAACAACCTTTTGGATGATATGCACCAGTTCTTCTTTATCTACTATTTGATTAATTCTTTCAAAGAACTCCAATGTGTTAGGGACACATGGTTTACACTTCTAGAATCCATGCTGTTTGTTCCTTATCAGATTACAGTGCAGCTCAGGTTTACTCAACTGTGGTTAACCAAGCCTTCCGTGTAACTGCAGTTTATATCCCTTAGAGTTGTGCTTTGCTGCATTTCAGCTTGCTTGATTGATAGCTGTACCCTGGTGTCACAGATCTGAAGGCAGTCTTCTCTATTGGTCTTGAGGAATTTTATTTTTTATTATTTTTATTTTTTTAAAGATTTATTTATTTATTTGAGAGAGCGAGAAGGCGGGGGGAGGGTCAGAGGGAGAGGCAGGCCCCTCGCTGAGCAGGGAGCCCGATGCGGGACTCGATCCAGGGACTCCAGGATCATGACCTGAGCCGAAGGCAGTCGCTCAACCAATTGAGCCACCCAGGCGCCCCTGGTCTTGAGGAATTTTAGATAATTCTCTGTATCCTTTTGCCTACGAATTACTCTAGCTGCCGGTTAAGTTTGTCTCCAAAGATGTAGTCAGGCCTTTGTAAAATTGGCGATGCTCTGCACTGGCAAATGTAAAGGTACAAGAACAGTGATTTAAAAAAAAAAAAAATAGTAACCTTGTTGTGGTTTCTGGAATTCCCAGAGAGTTTCAGAAAATTTGACATTTCTTTACATTTTGTTCAATAAGTCCATGTCAAGGAAACTTTCCAGATCTCCTAACTCCTTGTCTGTGTCCGATAAAAAGGACTAAATGATAGTGATTATAACTTATTACTGTTTTTATTTTTCATTTGAATATATTTTTTTTCTCCTGGTTTATGCCGTTGTAGATGGAAAATGTGCTAGAGCTTATGTACCATCTAACTGTCCAGTCTTCTGGTTTAGTTACCTCTTGTCAATGTTTGTTTCTATTATTTCTAGTAATGTTGCTGCTGCCACTTCTGTAAATGATTACAGTCCTATTTTCTTTTTCAATTCTTGTTCCTTTTTTATAAATGTCATTCAGCAGGACAACTCAAAAGCAATCTTTTTTCTCGAAGCAAAAG